ATATGATTTGACGAGTTAAATTTATTAAATTTTTTATTTAATTTCTAGAACACTAAAATTCAGAATTATGTAATATTTCGATAATTTTGATTACGATCAAACTTAGAAAAAAAAATTATTATTTATTTGAAATTGTAATGAAATTTGATTCTAGCTTGTCTGCTGAAATGCATATGATGAACATGAAACAAAGCACTATAGTACTGAATCCTTTACACCAGATAAAAAAGCACTATCGATTAAGAAAAAAGAATTTGGGTATATCGAATAACTAATATTGGACATTAGAATAAAAACTTGCTAAATCGATAATAATGATAAATACTGTATTACTATACTGCATACTAGAGATTAATGCATAAAATAACAATGATACACGATCGACTAAATGTCAACTTCAGAACAGGGCTAAAAATTTTATTTTTCTAGCCATTCAAAAATATTGTTCTTGATTCATATAATATAAAATTATTATTCTAATTATCAAAAAAGTCACTTGAAACAATTGGTATCCAGTGGATTTGCTTTTAAACTAATTTATATAAATAAGTAATTATACGTACACATGTTTCAAATGATGACTGGAGAACTTACTAAAATGGTAGATCAAGAACTCATTGAAAGAATATATGATTACATTAAAATTTATATTTGACAAACATAAATTTTGTAATAACTATTCTGCTAATTTCGTTTCACTTCTAACGACCACTGGCTCTGGTTAGACTTTGATTTAATACTTACCAAAAAGACACTTAAAACAATAGACCGCATGCCAGGAGATAAATAGGTAAAGCAAATCATAAACTATCCATAGATACTCCATTAACAATGGTCAGATAAAATTACTCAGGAGAAGGATTGAATTGTCTGATATTTTTAGATGGCCGTAAAATGAATAAGTATTTTCTGCCCTGAATGGGAATCAAAAATTAGTGATGCAAGCAAAAAAAGGAAATCTAATAATAAAATCATAATTGAGTTAAGTCCTAATAATCAAACTTATATGATAATTGTCTAGTATGACCCTATAACAATGAGACAACTACTCAGTGAAAGGACCGATTGAAAGCGCTTATAGACAGTGAACTCGAAATTATCGAAATAGCTTACTAAATATATTTGATTAATTAAACATAAATTTTAATACAATCATATTCACCTTCAGTGAGTTCTTAGTCTATCAACCCTGCATGTTATTATTTTACGTGATAGGTTTGTATTCTAAACGAATGAATACAATAATAATTCTATTTTCCGAATCAATTGAAAAATTATGTCATTTTTCTAAGATTAAAATATAAAAAGGGTCATATATCGCCAATTCATGATTCGAATCAAAGTTTGACTTTTTCTTTCTTTTTAAAGTCTAATCCGCCCATCATCGTTTCTTACACCACACTTGCATTATATTAGAAATGGCTAGAAAATCTTTTAAACCTCAATCTTCTAAACTGCAAAAATCTTCTAAACTGCAAAAATCTTCTAAAACTCAAAAACCTTCTAAAACTCAAAAATTAAAACATAAAAATGAAACTAAAAGTAAATATGATGAGAGAGAAAGCGATTACGAAAGTGAGGATAAAAGTAATGAAAGTGAAAGTAGTGAAGATGAAAAAAAAAGTAAAAAAAAAATTGTAAAAAAAAGAAAGTACAGGAGTGAAGACAACAGGAAAAATAATAAAAAAAGAAAATTTAAGAACAATGGCGAAAGATCTGCTTTACACAAAAGAAAAGATGATAATTTAACTGTAAAAAATATTAAATGATGGCGAAATAATTTGATAGAGAATGAAGAAATGTCAGGAGAGCTATCAGAAGAGGAGGGTGAACCAAAGTCAAAAAAATACTTATCTATTAAAGAAGTGTCACGTGAACTTTTAAAGGCACTACGTGTAAGTTGAAAACTAATTCCTAAGAACCTGGGTATTCAATCTTAGAAAAATTCTCGATAGATTAGTTTTTTTTTTCTTTTTATTTGGTTAGTAAGAATTACGATAGTTTAGTTTTATTTATTTTATTTTCATGTGCTACTGCATTTGGTTTGTGAGAATTACGAATAGTATATACTACGGCAGTGACACACGGGTTCATCAATAGTTTAGTTAGTTTAGTTCTTTTTTTTTTAGTTCTTTATTTTTTTTAGTTCTTTTTTTAGTTCTTTTTAGTTCTTTTTTTTTAGGTCTGTTTTTTTTTTAGTTCTTTTTTTTTCGTGTGCTACTGCTGAAAAGCCATTTGGTTTGTAAGGATTACGAATGGTAGATACTGCGGCAGTGGCACACCTGACCTTGGGTTCGTTAAGTTTAGTTAGTTTAGTTTTGGTTTTTTTTTTTTAGTTCTTTTTTTTTTTTTTTTTTAGTTCTTTTTTTTTTTTTTAGTTCTTTGTGATTGAATATATGCTACTGCTGAAAAGCCATTTGGTTTGTAAGGATTACGAATGGTATATACTGCGGTAGTGGCACACCTTCGTCACCACGTTCTGATAGTTTAGTTTTTTTTTTTTTTCTTTTTTTCTTTTTTTTTTTTTTAAAAAACTTTCGTAATTGGGATTCGCCAATAGTTAGTTTTTTTTTTGTTTTTCATCCAAGTTTCAATAGTTTAGTTTTTTGGGGTTCATCACCAAGTTCTGATTTTTTTTTACCTTTCGTAATTGAATGTGAAATTTAGAAAGAAATCAACTTAATTACGTCAAGGTTACGACCTGAGTATCAACTAAAACTTCAAAAGACCTTTGAGGATCAACGTGATCTTGTTAAAATCTCAATACTTCCAAAAATTGCAAATGCTTTGGATAAGACAACGTTTCCAGTAGTTGATAGTGTAATTTATAAAATACTACATCAACTTCATCGACACCGAAGGGACGAATTCATCACAGAACAAAAACCGGCAATAGTGGTAGACAAACATAAAAGAAGGAAGCATAATAATGGACGTGTAGATTCCGTACGTAAAATATCATATTGTTAATTTAGCCATTACATATATATTAAGAATTTTTTTTTTTAATAATAGAAAAGAAAATGAAGAGCAAAAACGATAGATCATTTATCTGAAGTAAATTATAAGTTAATAAGAAAGATAGCAAAAAAAGACTTAATGAAGTTACAGACAAGTAATCGTTACCATTTCCCAGAAATCTCAGAAACAGATAAAGAATCGGTAAAAAGAAAGATCGTAGTTTATGACTTGAAGTGGCGATCACAAGCTGTAAGTTAAATTCATAATTCTTATATCTCTATATGCATCTTTATTATCGACTATAAGATGAATTTGTACAAACTTCGAGGGTCCATATTTTTACGTAATATTACATAGCTAACAATATACATTTATGTTACTGAAGGACTGTAGAATGCATAAAATATATTAATTTTATAAAAAGTTCGGGTGTATTTTGTTATTAGTGTTAGTAGTTGGTACTAAGATATATGGTAAAATTATAGAAATCGTATATAAAATATGCATATATATATGAAGATTAATTTAAATTATTTTATTTTTAAAGCTGAAAGAGTTGTTAAAAAACTATGTGGATAAAATTAACGATGAAACGGTGAAAGCAAAGACATCTCGAATAAGAAGTCATGGACCAGAGTTTGCGTCGGAGGACAAGCCACCAATAAATGCACCAAAATGGATGTTGGCCAAATATGAAACTGAGATCGTAGAAGAGGAGAATGAAGTCGATGAAGAGGATGAAGTCAAAAGCGAGGGTGAAGTTGATGAAGAGAAGAATGAAGTCGATGAAGAGGAGAATGAAGATAATGAAGACGATGAAGGAGAAGCTTCATAGTAAAATAGTCAATAGCAATTATTTTCAACTATTTGATAATATAAAATAGAAGCTATTCTATCATATTTAATAAATATAAATTAGTCATAGCGATAGACCTCCTACCTTAATTATATTCAATATAAAATTAATCTATTGTTGAACAAAGGTGTCACAAGCGATCTATACTTACATACAAGAAATATTTATTAACTGTCATTTCTTATATCTTCAAATTGATAAATATCTCTTCTTATTTTATCATTTATTATTATCCTTATACTTTTAACTTTATTTCTCTAATTTCTTCAGGGTTTTTAAGGGATTGCTTTCACCGGTGACTTATGATATAACTTACCGGTAACCATTTCGGCAACCCTGATTAGAGTGTCAGTATTGCAAAATTATGTGTTCAGCAAATCTTAAATTATGTGAATTATGGGTCCTGGAATTAGAATAGAAAATTAGGCCACTTCAAGTTGATTCTCCCCTAAAAATAGGAGGGCATGTTATGCAAAGAATTAAATTAGCGTGGCCTTACATAAATTACATTACATATAAATTACACTGTAACTTACAAAATTATATAATATAACTTTACAATTAATAGTGATAACTGTTAAAAGTATATTAGTTTTGCCAGAGTATAATGATATAATAGTATCACGGGTTAATTGATATAGGGTAATTATTATTATATCGAATATCTGGCTCAGGGTGGTTCAGGGTTATTCGCTTGTATAATTTTATAAATACTTGAACGAGAAACTTCTATTTCTCTTCCACTTTACATTTCTATTTATATACTAACGCTAATTGACTATTATATATTACATTATATATGCAATAATTACTATGTATAACCACATTACATAATTTTTTGTCTGCTATTTTTACTACTGCAAGTGATTATTGAGATCACGTACATAGCCGTGATACTGATTAGTTGAATACATGATATTCATTTACATATATATATATGATGCTACAATAACCATGCTCCATTATATTAATTACGTCACCATCACTCATGTGACATATAGATTAACCAATAACTGTTAATTATTTAAATAACATCTCTCATAAATGCTAATTGTAACAGTGATAACATAACAATAGATTTGGCAGCCAATAGAATGCGTATCTCTGATTTTAAATCACATGTTATTATACCGTTATTGTATCGTTATATACCATTATACTGTATAATTACATTCACAATCCTATATGTATTATATGAAGGGTTGGTTTTAGAAAGTTACCAGAATTAGGCTAACGTTAGAGTATAATATATACTACCCTACCCAGAATTAGGCTAGCGTTAGTGACCAACACCCTTGTGTTGATATTGCTAGAGTTAGGTACGATCACGGGTTACCTGATCATGACTGGGTAATGTTAATGGCGTGATCGCTAATGCATGAATTTAATGTAAAGTCTATTTATTTGTAACCGGGTAATCAGTACCCAGATTGATAATCTAATAAAAGCATATCGATTCCAAAGAAATCGATAACAAGCTTCTTAGTGATAACAAGTTCTAATTAGCAAACAAGTTTCTTAGTGACAAACGTTGGTCTTGCTTAGTAAATACACAGTAGTATAGGTGGTAGTGCCTGGTAATACACCAGTGCCAAAGCGAGTGCTCTGACTAAGTGAATCGAGCCCGAAGACCCTATAACTGCAAACCTATATGACAGTTATAATATAATTCAGTTAACTGTACATAAGCATTTATTGTTTGAATTACTATTTTTAATTAAACTAGTATGTGTTTGAAGTTAGATAATTTATGCGGTGATTGTGAAAGTCATTTTGGCAAGATGATGGAATATTCTATTTAATTTGTTATTAAGTTATATAGCAAACAGATTAAAAGAAGCCAGCCAACGCATCTCAACATGTAGTAAGTTGCTTCACTTTGACGGTTCAAGAATATTACTTAATTCTCGCAGTCTTAGTTCAACTGACATTCTTAAGATATTCTGATGAGACGCAAGAGTAGAAAACTTCAGAAAGGGCACGCTGATGAAAAGTATAGAATTGGATCGATTATGTAGCATCCACGGTCATAATTCAAGATGTTGCTGAAACTTAAAAAAGCTACAATTGATGTTTGTCATAATGCTAGATATATGCCGTAATATTGATTTACACTTAGTGGTGCAGCTGCAATGAGATAACTAATATCGTGGCCCTCACTGACCACGAGCGAAAAACTGACCTCAAGTCAAAGACAAGTTATCAACGTCACGATACAAAGGTACTTAGCACAGTGTTTTATGAGAATATTATCTTTTCAAATTATTTCGGGGAACCCAAGTTAATTTTTTCTTTATTTTTTACGTTTCTTATATACTTAAAATAGACTCCAAATTAATTACATCATAAGCGATCACACAACCCGTACTAATTGGACTAGTAAAGCGTTGCAAAACCCGAGTCATTAACGGTCCATTTGGCACTGATATACGGTCCAACACGAGCCAACATTTGCTTTTCCTTAATTACATAATTAATCAGTTATACGATGTTTAACTTTCCCATATTTCTTATGATTCTTAATTGATGCTTAGTTATTCGCGATCAAATCTGGGTAATTGACAATCCATGATTTGAAAGAACATATTTTCGAATGCGAAACTTACTAAACCTTAGAGTACGTACACTTTATTTATTATTTATTTATTATTGTTCACGCTTCTAACACCATTCCTCATACCACATATTCGAGAGCCACTTTTCATCCAAGAGCCAATGGTGGCCGTGACAACTAATTACGACCGAAGTTGCAACTTTTTTGTAGTATTGACATAGGTACTTATTCCGATCGTATTGGTGTAGGTCTAACTTTGGCAGTATTATGTTCGAAACACTATTATATAGATCCTAATTCCAGTAGGATGTAGTAATTAAAACAAAATAGTTGGTTTGTCATAATATTGCTTCAAAATAAATACCAGTTAAAGAATCGGGAACAGACTTAGATTGGTTATAGTATTAGAATAAATTGATAAATAAGTTAATTTCGCATAATTTTAATATTATGACTTTCTCTTGTATGCATAACATGTTAAATAGCATTACCTCATGTGTGTCACAATAATACAAGTATTATTATGCAGATATATGTTATAAAGTTCACGAATACTGCCAAAAAAATCCTGTATTGGGATTTTTAATTAAAATTTACTGGGCACAATCTTTAATGAATCGAATGAGTGAGCCCGGTAAGCAACAAACTTGAGCCCTAATAGCAGATTTCTTGATAGCATTTACATATACTATTATGGGCTCCGTGACATTAAACTCAGGGTCTAGATTAAACTGGCTCTTAAATTGATCGTAATTTTGACCCAGCTTAAGTAATCCGTGACCTCATATCATGTGCTCACGTCTTAATGAACGATATTTATAGCACTCCAAGTTTACTGTTGAAGCTAATTGAATATTATATTATAATCGCTTTCTCAAACAATAGTTGTTTAATTTATAAAAAAAATCACCCCGATTAATATCTGATTTGTATTAGTTTTATTGCATGCCAATTTGCACCATAAATTGGCACCAATCAGGCAGTCAAATTTAAAAATTAGTATAAATCAGGTAGTTATCAGGTTTAGATATAGTATATCTGATTTGTATCTGATTTGCCAGCTTTTGACTAGTGCCAGATACTAAAGCACAAGAAGAATTTGCCGAATGGCTACTTAAAATTGGAGAAGATCACATTCTTCTTATTAATAGATTGGAAACAAATATAATCCAAATTCTCAGAGACTTTGTTTTACTATCTCATGATGTTAATAGCTTAATCCACTTCGTTTATCCTAATCTTTTTTTGCATTCTAATCTCTGGTATTTGGTTGAACATGCAATACTTACCTCGAAGAATAACTATGTCGATATCATTAACTCTACAATTATATCTTAATTTCCTGGTGAGACAGTCGAGTATCTCAGTGCTGACACAACCGAAAAACATACCGAGTCAGAGCATCAATATCCAATAGAATTTCTTAACTTATTATCTGCTAGAGGTCTTCCTCCTCATAAATTAACACTAAAGCTAGGATCTTTAATTATATTACTATGTAATATTCATCTGTCTTTTGGTCTTTGTAATGAAACCAGGATAGTTTGCCGTTTCTTTCAGAAACATGTTATTGAAGCAGAAATCATAACTGGGAAACATGTTGGAGTCTATGCTTTTCTCCCTCGTATTTCAATATCACCTTCTAATATCAACTTACTTTTCGTCCTTAAACATTATCAATTTCCAATTTAACTAGCTTTCGCAATGATGATTAACAAATCCCAAGGACAGATATTGAATTGGGTAGGTTTATACCTACTAACCCCTGTATTCTCTTATAAACAATTGTATATCACCTGTTCAAGAGTCATATCAAGAAACAATTTGAAGATTCTTATTACTGCATGAGAAGAAAGTAAAAGTCAAATCAATAAAATACAAAACATCATATACCCAGAGATCTTTCAGTAAAAATCTTGAGTTTTGTATTCTGGGTTTCATTCAACTTGCAGCTTTTTTAAATAGTCCTTCATAACTAATATTCTGATCAAGAGATATATATGTATTAGTGCTACTTTATTCAAGAGTGAAATATATATATAAATTAAACTTTCTTCATTATAAGTTTGTGCATTAGATTTTCATCTACAATAAGAGTAAGTTTTTAATAATAATTAGGCTATACAACCTTAATTTTAGTTTTATATTAATATCAAGACATGTGTTAGATGCTAATCAACTGATCAAATCCTTAATCTTGATCAAAGCACATTTAATATAAGCTAATCAGTATAGGCAGAGTTGTCATGTCTAATAATCTGGATTAGACATTGGACACCCAATAGTTTGAATTGGATATTAGATGTCAAGATCTAATTGAAAAAATATCCAAAAATCACAATTGGATGTTGGATTAGACATCTGATCAAAGGTGTTCAAATGTCTAATATACAACACTGAGTATGGGAACTTTAAAACCAGATGC